AAAAAAAAAAAAAAAAAAAGAAAAAAGAAAGGAACGAATAGAAGGTATAATAAATAAAAAGAAGTTACGGGGTGTGCTTTGAAGCGACGTCTATCGATTAAAATCTACCCTTTCTAATGTTTCGACTCGTTGAATTATTTCACAATAGATAAATCGACCCTCTTATGCCCCTGGTGCGTCTCGTCAAGCTCCTCTGTACACAAAACGTAATTACTTGAAATCCCAAACACCATGAAAATTTTATCTGCACCTTGCTCTTCCCGGCCCGTTGTAGCACGGCGACCGACAAACGACAAAATGGAATTAACTTTGGAAAAAGTTCAATAAAGAAAAGAATTTGGTATTATATTTTATACTATATTCTTGAAAATTGTCTCTTGTAAAAGGAATTGAATAAAGCACCGAAACAAACCGAACGCGTAACAATAACAACGCGTAACGATCAATCGTGAAATTATGCGTGACTTTCGCACGATGGTGCAACGACACAGAGTTTGATAGCATCGTGATCGATGAAAAGCACGGTTTGGAAATGCTTGTGCCAACGAACAGGTGTTCGATGGTGTAAGATACCACATGCATCTTCACAATCGGCACATATGTTGCTCATAACATCCGTGCAACCTCGTTGCATGCGCAAACAAATCCGAATGGTGTACTGGTTTTTCGTAACCGATCGATTCGTCACGACGAACTGGTGGCTTTCAACCCCGTATGTCTCGTGATCAATGGAAATTATTGATCAAAAAATAGTAGAGTAAATATGATAAACGCGATATCTTGCCTCTGTATACTTTCGGTACGCTTCCCACGTACGAAACGGATGATAAATAACTCCGTTTTATCACCGTAAGAGGCGCGCATTGAAGACGCAACAAATGACATGATACTTTATTTTTTTTTTTCTTGAACTTCCTTGCACGTTCTCGCGTAACCCCTTGGGTAAATTGTCCGAATGATAGATCTCGGACAAGGAACAAAGGGCGAGGTTTAGGAAAGGCAACGAATTTTAGCAGATTACCCGATTATTATATCGCTTGTACGTGATACGCGTATGTAGGTACTACCGATGGTAGATCAGGGTAAAAAAAGATTTGGATGAAACAACGAAAAACTACCTTGATAGGTATTTTAAAGAATCGGAGATACTTTCAAAATATTTTTAATACTCTGAAAAATGTCAAAAAATATCAGGGAACATAAGTGCTACTTGTCTCGCATAATTTCATTTTAATCTCATTATTCTCGAACTGACGTCTCTTTCGTAATTACTGACAACACTCTACAGGACACTTGAGACCTACCGAAGGATCTTTATCCTAAGAAAGACGAAGAACGCAACAATACTCAAATTCTTATTAACAGGGGAGGGTAGGCAAGCGTCAGAGGCCAATTTTAGGAATATTCCGCGAACTTCATCGTGTTAATTTATAAAGATAATTTATGTCATTGGTGATAGGGTAAAGAATAGATAGAATTTAGAACTTTGAAGATTTCATCAGACAACAACTGCACAAACAGTCGTAGTATTCGATTATTTGTCATAGTGTTTGACGAAACACGAATTTGCAAACAGATGTCCGCAGTCTGCTTATAAATCACGAGGAAGAGAACAAATCTACGAATTGGCCATACCGATCTGTCTAACCTAACGGCAATGTCAGAATGCCGAAACATAGAAAGACACCAGTTGAGAATCCCCCTCTCGCGGGGATGAGTTCCGCGTTCTCCCATTTGTAACTCCGTTCAACCGGAGCAAAGTAGGTAGAAATCCTTTCCCGCCCCCATCATCGGAGCCCAGCCTCGCTTATACATCCCTACCAGCCTTTCTGCCTCGTCTCCACCCTTGCTCGCAACGCTTTACACGGAGTTGAGGCCCATCGGCATTGCCAGACCGAAAACCCGACACGCTCGTCTGCCCCTGTACCAGCAGCCCATCCTCGCGTTATGGCTCGCTCAATTGTTTCAGCCCCGTTGATCCAATAAAGGATTACGGAGAAACAATCGTAGCGTGCGCCAACATCCCCCTCGTTCCACCTTTCCTCCACCTCTTTCGCCCTGTTTTCCTCCTCCACCTCCTCCTCCTACTCTCTCTTTCTCTCTATCTCTTTCTCTCACTCTGTGCATTGGTTGTCCGTTTCTGTACAGGCATGGATTTTTGTTAGCCCAATGAATGTAAGAGGCAAAAGTTTCCAGTGGATATATGGATATGCAAAGGGAGGTGTGTTTGTTTTTTTTTTTTTTTTTTTTTTTTTAGG